TTTTGTAGACATCATCCTTTGTTTCCTTGGTTTGTATTTTCTGTTCACCCATGGCTGCTTTAATCACATCCACATCTCGCTGGGTAAACTGCAAACTTGTTTTTATCTCCTGTATTTCTCTGGTCATGTTGTCGAGTCTCTTGTTATTTGTCTCCATAAGTAGTTGCACAAAACCTTTGAAGTTGTCTTGTTGTTGGCTCAACAGTGCGGTGTACATCTGCTTCTGCTGACTCAACATCTCTGTTACTTGCGCCGCTGAAATATAATCCTCTTCTGCTTCAACATCCTCATTCACTTCTGATTTATTAGCTCTTTTCCCTCTTGGAGGCATTTTAATAGTTGTAGAATTTGTTCAAAGACTTGAAAATGTAGAAGATGTGAAAAATCATAGAACAGACAAGAGGAGCAGTAAAGACGTTTGCTCTCGCTTGCAACCCGGAAATTGCAATTGCAAAGCATAAAAATGGTTTATAAAAATAATAAACAGTACCACTGTAGCATTTTAATTCAGGATGGTACCACTGTGGTGTAACAGGAACACTTGCAGATAAAAGTCTAACGAGTGATAGATGCAGTTTCAGCACCGGGAAACAGGTTTTTGACATGAATTATACTGGGACCATTATGACTGTGGCTGCCAGAGAGATGAATATTTAAACTGTGAATACTAATTTATTAGGATCACAGAAAATACTATCCACCACATAGATTCAGCTACTTTAACATTTTTATGAGAAAACCATTTTGCAATTCTATTGATATTAGAAGACAAGAAATAACTTTAGTCTCACAGCAGCGAGTCTAACGGAGCGAATATTCTAAGATACTATATATAATCAATAAACTGATTCATCTACAAGAGCCAGCTGTGAAAAGGTCATAAAAAGCAACAGAAGAAAGTTATTGTTAGAATGATGCCCCTGAACCAGCTGGTTACCTGTTCTGGAAGTTAAAATGACAAATGGAGACAAATTTCAATGGAAGCTGCTAAAAGGTTAAAATATCTACTCCAGTCTGAAATTTCAGTGTGAGGTTGAAAACCTCCCGTTGATAAAACCTGGATGTAGTCATCTAAATGCATTGTGGTTGTGTGTCTGTGATTGCTGCTCTTGTGTTTTTCTCACGTCTTGCTCTTTCAGTAAAATAGCATCTCTGAAAAGTCCTTCACCTTTGCTCTGCTGAGCTACCTCCCAGCCTCACAGAAGGCTTATTCAGCCTTCTCACCAGAGTGGACATGTCTAAGATGCTACTTAAATGTTTAACTGACCTCATCAAAAAGCTTTTGGCGACCTTATCGAGGCGGTGGCCCCTGGAACCACCGAGTGCTCTTGACCTGAGAAGACCTGTGGCTCTCTACCAGCCTGCTCCTTTCACTCTGTGTCACATTTATACAGATGTAATTTGCTGGCAGATGTATTGCACATAAGGGAACTAGCAAAAGTCCCATTGTGGAAAAGGAGAGAATAGCAGAGAGTCACCGAGGAAGGAAGAGGCAGAGAGATCCTGACAGGCCAGGGGAAAGCAGAGATGTTCTCCAAGCATATGCGACACTGCGTCCTGTCACTGTGAAATAATGAGCACTTTGTCTCAGGAAGGATGCTTACTCAAAACTTAATCTCTTGAATTAGTGCTATAGTGGGAGATGGAGGTCTGTTTCTCTCTCGCTTTGTCCGCATTCCTCTCTTTCCTTCTCCATCCTCCTCTCTCACTCTGCCTCTCACTGCCATTCCCATTAAAGCTTGTACTTTTATGGCTAGAGTTTGACTCCATCATTTCTTCCCGGTTGCCTGGCGGGGATGAGCCATGTCACGAAGATCCTTCATGTCTGCTGCAGTGCTAATGGGGCAGGTTTAAGAATCTGTGGGCCACTAAATTACCCAGCATTGCTATATACTGTATGTCTCATCCAGGCCATATGCAGAGGGGACCTGTGGGTCACAGTTATGTTTCAAGGGTGATGTAGGGAAGAGGGAACGCTAGATGAGAAGCACCAGATACAACTGCCCCCTTGCTAATCTGTTTCGTCAGTGTTGCTGTATCCCCATCTGTTTAGTGAGATGTGTCATCATTCAATTGGCCCTCGCTCAGCTTTGCACCCTTCCTGATCCTGTGTGAATCTCTGTTTGATGGAAAAGTGTCTGTTTGATGTCTCCGAAGCGTCTCAACATAATTCCTGTATAACAATACAGTCACTTTTAAAAATTTAAATGCTGGGTCTATGGCTCTGGTGGCTTGTTCCTTAACTGTGGGTCCATAAACAGTTTTTTTTTTTTAATTTTATCTTTGCTTTTTTTTCTGCAGGTAGTAATATGTAGAATAATAGATCTTGCCTGATCAATCAAATTTGCAAAGCGCTGGTCATATAACACAGGCTGAATTGTGTCCAGCTGTCAGTTTGACAGTTAAATTAAAGCCTCTTCCTCCCTCTGCAAACAAATTATTGGCTGTAATTGAAATGTTAATAATCATGAATTACCCAGCTCAGCTCCACCGTCTATAGCTGAGGGCTGAATGCTGAAAAACAAAAATCATCAGCCAACCACGGTGCAGTACTGGAACTTCCTCATGAACAACCCTGAAATGAACTTTTATTGCCTCACAATATGTGTTTAATGCCCCAGAATTAAATGTCTCTCCCGCTCCAAAGGAAGTGATGTCTGTGGATGAGGAGAGCACATCCTGCTACTGTCTGCTCGAGGCCCACAGGTGCCACATGCTGCTGAAGCATCCGGGTCGCTATGCCCTGGTGGGGGAGCCGCTGACCCAGGAGGCGGCCAAGCGACTGAGGCTGGCTGTGTTTGGTAGTCCGGATACCAGCAACTCTCTGGGCTTCTCCCTCAGGGTTTACTGTGTGGACGACACACCCCATGCATTTCAGGTAAGAGTGAAGACGCTGGTTATAGAAGTAAACAATGAAGAGGCAGGAAGGAGAATAGTTCTGTCTTTCCAAAATTTCAAAAGCATTTATTTCACTTTATGTAATGGCTCATGAAAAGTATTGCACACCACAGGGGTTGCCCTGCCCATAAAGCTGCCCCTGCACTGTACAAGTGAGATGAACAAGACTAAGAGGCTACAGCCATGTTAGCAGCTACATCAGCATGCCAACATGCTCACTGCTGTCATACTGATGTTCAGGTGGTAATATTTATTCTCACCATCATAGCTGACAGTGTTAGTGTGCTAATACTTGCTAATAGCACTAAACACAAAGTGCAGCTGAGGCTGGAAACATTTTAGCAGGTACTTGGTTGTTAGTTGTTGGGACACTTCAGGAGTCAGGGAGTCAGCAGGATACATCATGTGAAATGGAAACTTTCATGTCATCTAATACAAACACAGTATTTTTGGACCAAACAGACGAACACTGCCGTCCGTAGACCTACACTGGGTGTTGTGGCTAAAACTTCTCCAGTTTCCAGCTGAATTCTAATATATCGTGTGATATAATGATAAAAGAAATTGGCTCGGTTGCTGTCAGTGGTGTTTCTTCCTGGAAGAATTGCTGTCCGAGATTTTTCTGCTCCACTGACGATCTGCCTGTTCAGTAACATTGCCACTGGGAGATGCTTGATGACTAGGAGACAAAGAGGGACTTTTAATTATAAAGACAACAGATGCTCCAAGGTTGCTTCTCTGCCCTTTTTTTTGCATGATTTAATTTGCTCTCTGTTAATTAAATGTGTTTCAGCATTGCCTTTCCTGTAACAATTATTTGAACAGGTTAAAATGAGACACCTTCTCAGACGCACCAGTTCATCACCGTGCTCATCGCTGGTGCTCGGTGGCATGTTTGCCTTTCTTCGCGTAGTGGTGCTCACTCAGAAACACAAACACACACCTTTTTGTCCAAGGTGAAAAAAAAACGTTTTGTAAGAATAACGCTTCCAATCTTAATTAAACACACACTGTTTCTGACTCGATGCTGATAGTTGCCCTATAAAGCCACTTGTCTTGCTTCACTTTTAGCTTCATTCAAGAGGTAAAATTGCATGTGAACAAAGAGACGTTGGATGAAGGTGCCAAGAGCCAATTCACGGCACCTCTCCATCAGTCAGACTTGGTTATTTGTTCTTTTTGTTTGTGCTTCATACGACAATTAATTTCCCCTGTGAGCTTGAAGCGGGAATCGATCTGGTTCGAGACATCCTGTATGCTTTGCATTTCTCTTCTCTCTGTGCTGTGTGATGGAGAGGGTAAGCACCGTGCATACAGGACTCACACCCCCCACCCCGGCTTCCCAATATACACAAAATATAAACACAAACATGCAACCAACACTTGCACACGTTATTGTTCCCCATAGATTTGGGAAAATTATAGTGTCACACAGCAGGGAGCCAGATTTATATCTTAGCTTCGTGTACAACCAGGTGGGCTGCTCTTTGTCATTCATTTGAACCATTTTGTGTCTGGTTACAAGCTGTTTTTTTCCTTTGCATTTGGAAACTGTTATATTTCCACCTTCCTAAAACTGGTAATAGTTCATATACATCCACTGAGTTATCAGTATTAGGGCTGCATCAGAGATAATTTAGTAATCAGTTAATCTGCCGGTTATTTGATTAATTAACCAATAAATCATTTGGTCTATAAAATGTCACAAATCACAATTTTTGAGAGTCCAAGGTGACGTTGTTATGTTCATTGTTTTGTCTGACATACAGTCCAGAACCCAAAGAGAGCCCATTAAAAAAAATCAATTACTACAAATAAGAAGCTTGAAATAAGTATCTTTGGAACTTTAGTTTGAAAAATGACTTAGAACAATTCTCAGAATAGTTGATTTATTTGATGAATCAGTTAATTGTTTCAGCGCTTGCCGTTTTTTCAGCTCTTCACACTAGATAAATAAACCGCTTTAGATTTGTCTGTTTCCTGTGTGAGGATGTCAGTATATTACACATTCTTAGCAATTATCAGAAAAACCAGAGGTTTGTCTCAGCACAGTGGGTCTGTCAGCTACCTTTTCTCTCTGCTTCCCTGACCCCTGACCCATCCCTCAAAAAAATACCCCACACCTGTGCTTATCAGGAGGTGGCAGTGGGCGAGCGCAGCAGGGGCGGGCGGCTGCTCGAGGAGCCTAAAGCGATGCTGTTCAGAGGGAACTCTTTTAGCCTCCAAGTGTCCATCCAGGACATCCCACAATTACTCTGGAGCATCAAGCCTTTCACCACCTGCCAGGTAGGCGGTTTCCAGCTGTGAGTTTGTGTCATTTAGTGTAAAGGAATCTAAAGCAGCGGCAGGTTTGCAGTTTGTGCATCTCAGTTCTACACTGCTCTTGAAGCTGTGCGGCGTCATCTGTTCCGCCATTAAAACTTTCTCTTCTGCCAGTTTCCCCTTTTTCTTACTTGGTCACATCAAAGTCTTAAAGGGAAGCAACAAGGGCGGAGATCAGTAGCTGTGTCAGAGACGCACACCCTTCCAAAATGAATTATGATTGCCACACACATGCATCTCATACTATAGTTATTATCCAAGGGGTCTACATGTTACATATTCTGCTCTGGCCCTTGATGTTTATCCCAGCAGTGACATCCTATTAGCAGAATTAGCCCACTATAGTGCCTCCAGAATACAAACCAGGTTTTCATGTAGATGGAAGAGCCACTATGTGAGGGTCCTACAAGGGAAGATGATTATAGGCTTTCATTCAAACGCTACTTTTGTCTAAAGGAGGCTTTTACAAGTAGCCATCCTTCTGTCTGATGGATCTGAAGAGAGGATGATTCATCCATAAAGCAGTGTGTTTGACCTGTTCTCACTGCACCGCTGTCTAGGTCATGCACTAGTTAGTAATGGATGTCGAAAGTGGCCTTTTAGATTCTGTTGGCTCCAACGCTCTGTTGGTTTTGGATTTTTCAGCTGCCACATATGGGCAAGTGCAGCACAAACTGGACAAATTAGGTATCTGTGTCCTAATTCCATAATCCCATTACAGTTCCTGATCAACAAACTGGCATTTGCCAGCTTCATATTAGCAGTATGAGACTATAACAAGCCACCAGAGCAGTAAATATGGTTTGGAAAGTCTTAATGTATTATTACTTTTTTAAGTCTTCAAATGATTATTTTATGTCCTTACTTAGGCTATGTCTCCTAATAATGTGAGTTTAGGTCTGTAATATTTATTGAACTAGCCGCACCGTGGGGTGTAATGCAAAAGTAATATAAAGTAACTTAATTGTTTCTCCCAAGCAGCAGTGAGTAAAATAACACATTTGAACTAATGACTCCAGCACTTTCAGGTGGTTAACAGGATACATTTTCATCCTACAGACTCTATCACCTGCTGGTGTTCTAACTGATGGGTAAACTGCTTGATTAGGTAACATCATTGATTGGCTGAAGAGGCCACTCATTCCATCTTAATTAATCATGTAAACAGCAAAGTAGGCGGCAAAGCAGGATTCAAATAACAAATGTCTTTAGCAGGGGTTTAATGAGTTTGTTGTCTCCTCTGCCTAATCCCTCCATCGTTCTCTCTGTCCGCCCTCCGTCTCCTCTCGGTCTGCAGGAGTTCTCCTTTTCTCAGGTGTGGGCCAGTAACCAGCATCCCCTGCAGTGTGCCTTCTTTCTAGAGCGATACAGCCACTCCTCGTCTCAGCTCTCGTGCAAGATCAGCGTCCGACAGGTCAAAAGCGAGGAGCAGATACTCCAGGTCTATACATCTGTGGTTGAGGTAAGTAGCACTCGTAGAAAGAGATACTGTGCTTGTTAATAGCTTCTTTTATTACACTGAATACTTTTTTATTTGATTTAAGTGCTTGCTTAATGAGGCTCTTAGGACACTTTTCATGTATAGATTAGAGGGTGTCTTAATGAGCCTTCATACTGAGGTGCCCAGATTTTAAGCTGGAGGATCGGGCTAACACCTCTTTCTTGTTTGTAACTAGAATGAAAAGGGAGTGCTTCCCTTTTCCTCTCAGTCGGACTGCACCATCACCTCTCAGACAGGGTCAAGAGCCTTTAAAATCCCCCTGTCCATCCGTCAGCGGATCAGTGCCACCTTTGACACAACTAACGCCAAGGGGAAGGACTGGCAGCTCTTGGCTCAGAAGCTCCACATAGACAGGTATGAGATATACCTCTCTGAAACCTGGATTTCAGTTGCTGTTTACCTTTCCCCGTGTCATTTATGCATTACACAAGCTCTGGCACGTGAACCGGCTAGTATGTTTTCTTTATTTAATACAGAATAATTGAACTGGAAAGCACAAATGCTGTTCTGATCTCTCCTCTATGCAAACACTGCTTCCACTTTGAATGCTGTCTTTAATCTCAGCTTTAAGCACCATGTCAGCCCTAATCTTCCATCAGACAGCTGTCAGTAACAGGCCACACTGCTGATTTCATTATAGATCTAGAAGCACACATGCACTGAGAGACGGAGTGGGGGGGGCATGTAAGGGCCAACTTTAGCACAGTCAGAATAATCTGAGAAAAGATGCTGTGTTTTGCAGAAATCTGAAGAGAGGTCTGAGACTGCTGACAGGCTGGCCTCTGTGTTCATGTTAGCACTCCTCATTAGCAGCATCTCTGGATGTGCTCCATCCTCCAACCCCTGCTAAACTCTCCGGAGGCTGTTCCAGGTCCAGATTTGTGTAGAATGTGGAGGATCTTAGTTGTTTGGTGAAGGGTGATCTCTATTTGTGCTTCAGAGGAGAAGTCAATAATCAAGTGCTTATAGCCATGAAGACTCTTAGATCTGTGCGGTCACCTCCAGCAACCACTTTGAGAGGGAAAGTAGTGAAAGTGAGTATTCCCCCTGCCTTGCCAGTTGGAGAAACATGAGAGAGAAAAGTTAACAGAGAAACTGTGACAGAAACTACTGTATGTGATTAAGGAATTTCACTTAAACCAAGTCTGACAACGAACATCTGTGACTGAAGAATGGGGAAGGATTTCAAAGATTTTCCAGCCCAGTCGAACGCACCGAGAAGCATGTAATGGAAATGACTCTACCTAGTTAAGCTGATTTTTGTAATTATTTCTCTGAATGTGTGGGAACATCGTCGCACTGATTAGAGAAAGTAGGATAGAAAGGAAAAGAGGGGAGAAGGCAACAAAGGAGATTCCTCTGTAATGAAACAGTGCACTCTGTTGGATCAGTGTTATAACAGCAGCAGAGGAACTAAATCACTGGCTTGTTTTCTCATAAAGTATGTAGCACTGAAACATATATGTTCCTTCTTATCATAAACTGTGCAGAGTACTTACTTGGTTACAGAACCACTCATTTCTTTTCAGCATTCCTTGCCATGTGACCTGCTCAAATGTAATAAAATATTCCATTTTCCTCGCCTGTAGGAACCTCTGCTACTTTGCATGTCAGGAGAGCCCATCATCAGTAATTCTGAGTCTATGGGAAGCCCAGCACCAGGACTCAGGAGACCTGGACTCTCTGGCGAGTGCCCTAGAGGATATTGGCAAGGTCCAGTCCTCTAGGAGAGAGGAGCAGGACTCTGAATTTGCTCAACTTGGGTAGGAGAGGTCTACAGCGGATCAAATCATGATGAACCTTTACTGCATGAGCACTGATGAGCAGGTGTTCTTGCTAACCTATGGTGAAAAGGAGGAGGAGTGAAGAGAAGAGCAGGGAAACTGGGTTTTAGACTGTTACTACAGAAACACCTCTGCTAAACCAAATGGCACATACAGTACCGTCAGACGGGAATCATGGAACAAGTGAAAGGCCCCAAAAAAACACTTTTTGAAAAGGACAGAAGTATCCCACATCCACCTTTGATTGAAAAATGTCACCTCCTGACACATCTGAAGACAGATTCAGTTACCTGTCTTTGAGGATTATGGATATTTGTGTGAAGAGGACTCGCCACATAGGATGGAGTGTGTTTCAGACAACTTGTCAATCATGCTGGTGTTGTGCCCTTCACAGATGTGCTGGGATGTGCCAGCACTTGCCCTCAAACAGCCTTCTGGGCGGTCAGAATGTTTGGTGTAATATCATTCTCTTGTCATTCATTTTCAAGGTCTCCTAATACTGCTTTTGCTTGTCTACACCGTGTCTCTAGTGTTACTTTCTGGAGTTAGATGAAAAGACAGAATATGATATGATATGTCATAACATTGTGTCCATACTGTGGGGTCAGACACACTGACAGTGATTGTTCACACTGATTAGCATTTAAAAGGACCTGATGGTGTCCAAATGCTGTAAAAGAGACGACTGGGCTTTTACAGCGGCATGATCGGGTAACCATCATTTTAACAAACTCCCACATGCACACACTGAAGAACTATTTCAAGCTTATCAGCAGAATGTGTTGAGGCAAGTGTCGAAGCAAAGGCTGAAGAAGAGAAGAACTCTCAGCACCCGGCTGATCTGTGCTGCAGGCGTGCACCACATCCCCTAATGTCTAGTAGTCAACTGCTGTTTTTGATAAACGGTTTCTGTTTTTTGTTTTTTGGGAGGAACTTTTCTTTCTCGGTGTGTGATCAGTGACTTTATACCAGACAGACAGTGGGAACGTTACAACACTGCAAGTGCTTGGAACAGGTGGCGTTGTGTGTCCCTTATTTTTTCTTTTTTACTTTTGATGTGTGGCTTGACTGGATCTGCCTTTTTTGGGTCATCTGCATCATCACTTACACAGTCTCACTCCCTCCCCGCTGTGTTAGCGTCCCCTGCAGAGCCAGCATCCGCTTGAACACAGATCAGAAAGATCCCCACATTCAGTTGCTCCACCTGCCCTAAACTTAATAAAGTGACTTTGTGTTGAACTCTGTGTTGGCTCTCTCTTTTCGACAACTTAATGAAATCAGTTCTTGACAAGCCTGACATCCCACGTACTGTACAGTGGAGAGATCAGCTCCAGTAGCTCTTCAAAAACTGTGTTCAGCAAAGAGATGAAATGGAGCCCCATACAAAGTAGAATTCTCAGAAAGCTGTAACAGAGCTATGGAAGAACTCCTAAAGTTTTAGATGTCGTTGCCAATTTACCATGATGATCAGTAATTGTGTTTGATCTGCACGGCATGCCAACCTAGACGGCACTAAGCTGGAACTAACAACTCACGAGTAAGACCTGGTCTTAAAGAGGCTTCCTTCCAACTTGCCTATTTTTAGATGTCCAAACCTTTATATGGAGAATAAATCCTCAGAGACGTCTGTGCAGAGTTTGTCAGCAGTGTCTTCTGCTCTTCAGCCACCCATCAAGTAGTTATTCTGTGTAGTGTCTCTTTTAAAAGTGTTTAACTGTCTCAAAGTGGCCCAGACCTGGTGAGACGACGCTGCTGTCCTTCCTTCTTTAGAGATACTTAACACAGTGTTAAAAGATTTTTGGGAAACAACCTACAGTATTTACTTTCTTGCCCAGAAAAGATTGATCTCATTGTTATTCTTATGTACTGTATGTTAACTGAAGCTACAGCTAGCAGCCAGTTAGCATAGTTTAGTAATAAGACTGCAAACAGCTACTGTATCTTGGCTCTGGTCAAAGCACTGACTGTATAAATACAGATGACATATCACCACTTCCCTCTACTATGTAGACGTGAAGCAAATACCACAAATGCAGCAGCTGCCATCTTGGCATTTTGCAGCTGGTAGCAACCAAGCAGTTGAGTGACATATCAGGCCACCAATCAAAGCTGCCAAATACTCAGACAGACTCAGAATCAGCTTTATTGGCCAGGTGTGTTGGACACACGAGGACTCTGGTGCAGCTGAATACAATCTGAAATGCATCTCTTTTAATGTCATTGAACAACTAATTAAAAACCAGCTTACCAAAAACATGTCCACTTGCCCCCATCTGTCTGTTAATATTTACCAAAACCCACACAAATGGTATTGATCTTCTTAACTGTCAAAGAAAAAAAATAAGCATGTTTCCCCAACATATCAAAAAAAGTCCTTTAATTAAATATGATTTCCAACTTCATCTTCAAGCTGACAAAAGTAGTTGCAGATTCAAGTGTGCTGGTTCTACAGTGCGAAAGCAAATCCCTGCTCCTGCTTCTGTGTTTTTGGAAATATTCTGACTTGTTCAACCACAGAGGTGTGCTTCATTCAGGAGCTGGAGTTCTGGACAACCTGTTCTGAGACAGCCAAGCTGGAAATCACACAGTAGCTATAGCTCATGAGAAAGCCTTTGTCATCCTGTTCTGTACAGACAGACTGTAATAAGGAGGGACTGAGTGTCTGCTATCAGCTGAAAAGGTCACTGTGTACTGTGTATGGAAGGCATTTACACCTGGATGATACTGACTCTCTCTCCAGTTCTCACATGCTGAGTTAAAGCCCTTCATACAGATGGCTACTGTGGGACAGTCACATCTAAAACAATACAATGAAGCCTCCTTTCTGTACTTGGCATCTAAAAGTACTTTATGAAGTGGTTAAAATATAAGTAAGACTTCTATTTTTTAGGTGCTCTTCTTTACAAATCCTTTATCTTGAGAAGCAGACCCCTAAGAAATCATTGCTACGGTACCAAACGTACAGCCATGGTGTTTTTCTGAGATTTCAAGCGTAAACCAAAGTGTTATGGACCCACTTTAATGTTACTGGACCTCCAAATTTAGAGCAGCCACAATGTAAGAAACCCAGGGTTTTAAGTAGTTTTTCAAAATTGCATAAACTTGTGTAATGCAGTGTTGGCTACACATTTCTTTTCTATATAGGTCAGTACTAGAACTGCTTTCAAAACAGGAACTAATCTTCTGAGTTGCGGGACCACGTCTGTTTCTCAGGATATTAATCAGAGCATACTGTGTCTCATTAATGTACAGAGCTGACTCCGTCAAACCCAGGACTTGACCTCTCTGCTGAAGTGCAGAATGTGCCCTGGAGTCTCCACATATTGCCCAAATTCTTTGTTGTATTTATAGATGTGAGCTTGAGGCAGGATCAGTCAGACGTCCTCGGATCATAAGAAATTAAACAGAGCTCTC